TTTATTTTTTTAAATAAATAAAATAGCCACTTGAAATCAGTGGTGGACTATTGAAAGACAGAACTACTAAAGAAAATTAACAAATATAAAATTAATGCTTGAAGGATTCCAGGCAACCTATGATAGCTCGAAAAACCTTGGATGGGATAAAAGGATGTCCATTGAATCATTACAAAGATATCATTTGCCAGCTGAGGTGAAAAGGTAGTGAAGCAGTCACCCATCAAAAAAGTTTCTTTTTTAGAGAAGAGAAGTTCAACGTCTTTTTATAGCATACATATAAAATGGTTCAACGTCCAGAAAACATTGCCAATATCATCAATGGTGTTGAACGCTATAATCCTGAAAATATTGATGCACTCGAAAACTACTTAAACCATCAATGTGAAAATGGTCAATATGACTGTGAAGCTAATTTAGCCATTCTTAAGCTGTAAGGGAGAGAGAGAAAGAAGCACATGTCTCATATTAACATTTTCTATTAGCTATCAGTTCAACCCTCAGCTGGCTAAAGAACCTATTGTCGCAAAGATTCTCGTTAAAGCTTTAACTGCTCTTCCTGCACCTGACTTTAACTTATGTTTATACCTCTTAGCTGAACATGCTGTAAATATCGCTAATGAAGCCTTTTTTTTTTTTTATTCATCATATCTTACACTTGTTAATAGCAGTTCAAGTCTATTGAAAGTTTAACAGAATTGCAACAACTTTTGGAACAAGCACGTTATGAAAAGTTTTGGCAATCTGATCTTACAGCATGGACAAAGGTTGTTCCCAACTTTGAAACTGAGATCCGTCAAGTGATTGCTCGAGTGATTGCCATGTCATATCAAACAATCAACGCTTCTACTTTATCAGGCTATCTTGGATTAAAAGGAGATGAGTTTGACAAGTTCTGTGCTAGTCAACAATGGCAAAAGAATGGAGATATAGTTCAGATTCCTATCAACAAGGGTAACGAAGCAAAGGCAGTTGTTATTAGAGAAAACATCAAGTTTGAACAATTAACAAAAGTGATTGGATATTCTAATGAACTGTAAAAGGGACCAAATAAAATAATCGTCAAGCAAAATTGTTATATTTAAAAGAGAACAACGGTAGGCACACAGCCATTCTTCATGACTTCCATGACAATCCCTTGATCATTTCCAGTCAAGTAAGTGGATCCAAATGGATTTTGTTCACTCGATCCGCGTGTAAGGATCACTGGCTTCTTTTGTCCATTTTCCTTGATTATGTTACTATCATTCCAGGGAATACGTTCTTGTATAGTTTGTATCTATGATATTGTTAGGATGATGTGGTTATAGATAGTGTTTATTTACCTTCATATCAGCAGTAATAATTTCCTCATCTTCAACATAAACATCTACTAGAATGGATGTGTCCTTTTTGTTTTTCTCTAACAAGATTATATACAAATGATGAGTGCTTGTTAAGTGTCATATTATGCAACATTACTTTGTTTCTTGGGAAAAGTGATCTGAAAGGGGCATCGTTTATACTTTTGGAAATCATAGTGACCAGGTATATTGCCGTGAAGAACAATCTTTTTACACACATGTAATGCCCCATCTATTAAAATGTCTATTCCCAAATGAAAGTAATTAAAGAAATAATCTGTTGGCTGAACACCTATGATAACACTAAGCGAACTTATATCAAAAGATGTCTTGTTACTAACCTTTATCATCTAACGTTGTCGCTGTTGTCAGTGTTGCTGTCTCGGTTGTATTTAGTTCAAAAGGATATGTGTTGGAAGTAAAAGAGTTGTTGTGATGATCATAGTTTGAGTGTATTTTCATCTTATCTTCCTCTTTATAAAAGATCCTCGATGGTTTGCCTAATTCTGCCAAAATATCTTGTGGCGTAGACACATGCAGCTGAATGGACACAGTCCTATTATGGATAAATGTGTTGACTGTGTTGCTGATGCTGTTTTTATTTACACCGCCCTCGCTACTGTTGCTATCGCTGCCGGCATCATCAGCATTGCTGCTACCATCAGCAACACTCTGACTACTTCTTTTGTTGGTCCCTCCTGTATCAGAATGACTTATGGTCGGAAAGACCAATGTGATGCCTTTATCCGGCTATAATAAAAGCATTAAGACATGTATTGCTTTTGTTATGATCATTTATACCTTGACAATGACACTTTCAACTTCTCTTCGTTCTATTTTACCATATCTTGTAGATTTGCTAGCATTCGATTCGGCAATGACCTTTGGTAAAGAAGGTGTAGATGCTTGTTGCCATGTGTTACTGTTACTGTAAAGTATGACTTTTGAAGCAATCGGTGTCGTACCATCAGGAAACTCGAGTGGCAAATCCGATGATGATTTATACAGACTCGTATGTTTGGTGGGTATAGGAAACGTAAAGGCTAAACCCTAATCATGTGTTTGTCTTTTTTTATAAATACAAAATTGAGTCATCTTACAGGATATTTCAACGTGTATACACTTTGACTAGCATCAAACTCGCCAGGGTAGGTCGGTCCAAATGACTTATATATCAGTAAAAATGTCGGTATGGTTCTACTTGAGCTACACATATAATTTCAAATTCAAATTTATGCAGAAGAATATAAAGTGCCCTTATTTTACCTTACGTCGTTATTTTGATAGACTAATTTGACTTTTGAAGGATCATAACATTCGATAGACTTTAGCCTTTGTAGCGATCCATCATACCTTAAATGAAGACCATTATATGGTAGCGCAATGATAAAGTCGTATAATAATGGGTCCTAAACAAGAGCATAAAATAAGCGATGATGGTAACATTTTAGCTGCGTAAATCAAACCTCTGAGCTATATTTTAGTTCAACTGAAGGAAAGTATTGAGACTTGTCTAACAAAAAGTTTAAATTATCCCAAAGCGAAGAACCTATTTGAGTTGTTAGTGTAGGTATATACAGAAATTATTTCATAAAATACCTAATCTGAAAGGTCCTAAACTTCTTCCGGGAACAATGGCTAATTCAATTCTTTTGGAACGTTGTCTCTGCGACTGTTTGGGTAAATCATGAGCAGTTGTCGTCATTGAATGTGTGCGTGTGAGATTATAGAAAATGATAAAGAAAAAAAAAGAAGAAGAAATAGGGGCACTCTAGCATAACTGCTACAAGTCATTAGGCAATTCGAGTCACACACATGTCCTCTGCTCACATGACAACGAGCCGAAGTGCATTACGCTCCACTGGCTGCAATTAAATCGGAATTTTAAAAGATCATCCGCAGTGCCCAAGTATCTGATAGAATGAAAAAGAAGCCAAACAGCAAAGAGAAGAGGAACAACGGCAGTATATGACAGAGAATGTACAATTAAAGTTGGAAGTGTCTAATTATATCAAACAAAAGATGAGAGGATGGTTAAAATTGCTAAAGGAAGATGAAGAGATTTCAATAAGCTTGAAGGTAGATAAAGAGAAGCAGATCATATTTGAAGGCGATAATAAAGGTAAATATTGTATAAATACTATCGTCGCCTTGTCTAATCATATTTAATGCATGCGCATAAAGCACTTGAACATATCTTGTTTAAAGTGATGTTACGACTATTCCTTTTAGATCAAGATGATGAGTTATTATAGAACTTAACAATAAACAAAATAATAAATTTCTTTTAATTTCTATTTATGTTTTGGTTATATATCATAGGTTGGCTTTTAATGTTGAACAAGGAAGAATGTGATCCATAATACTATTATACTTTGTCCTATATCTTTACTGAAAGAATGTAAGGGAAGATCTGCATAAACCATTTCAAACGGCGCCTATAATGATGACAGTGAAAAGGTACATAGACCACCTGACTTGTTCATATCTTTACGTTAAATGGAGCGTGAAATATAAGTAAAAGAATGTATGAAGGATTGTAATGTTTATAATAAATATGACTAAAAGGGAAAAAATCAAAAAGTATTTAAGCAAAGCAGGTCAAGCTCTCTTTTCGAGCTAAAGAGAAATTCTTTTCGGAGATTTTGTATAGGTAGGCTTAACTAACAAATATATTGTCTATGGATTAGACAAGTTCTATTTTTGCGCCATCACTTTTTAGATACCCAAAAGACAAAGAAGATGTGTTTCAAATCTAGTTTATTGAATTCAGCAGAAGAGTATCATATTTGGATAAAAGCGGCTATGTAATAATCTTGAACAAAATCAAATGCTGAGACGTACCAGTAACTTTAGGTAAAAAGATCGGATAATAAAATATACCAATATTGGCTTGCAGTGAATGAAGATGTATTGCAATAAGCTTGCAAAAAGTAAAAGAAGGAGAACATAAAATTGGGATAGTGTTATAATAGCTCATATATATATATATCAAAAAAATTTAAAACTAGGTTTAATGTTTTATTAAAAATAAAGAAGAAAATAAGAGAAGAGCTACTGGAAACTCAGCTTTTGATGTGGTAAATATCTACTTGCTGCGTCAATCGGTTGCTGTAATCATTTTACTTGAAACTTGAAAAAAAAGAGAGAGAAAGAACACAGCTTAAGTAGCTGATAACTAACTATAAGAATGTGAAAACACTGAAGAATATGGCAAAGATACCAGTAACAGCAGTGCAAAAAAAAAAATAAATAAATTGATATCGAAGAGTACAGAGGAAAGTTACTGTTCAAAAGTCAACCCTCTTTTTTTTTTTTTATTAATTCTAAATGCTGGGATCTTGATGTCAGTGGTAACTATGGGATGGATGTATCCCTGTTTTGCCAAATATAAAGGTAAGAGACAAAGGCTAGTAATAATAAGAAGAATAGGAAAAAGGACAATAAGTCAGTGAGACTGAAATATATGATATCTTTATTTACGATGGATAAAATAATGGTATTTACACTTTTTAACATCTACAGTCAATAATGATAATTGGATACCGTAAGCGTACCTATAAGCGCTAAGCTATAATGGAAATAACTGGGAAGAGCCTAACTAGCATTAGCTATTGGTTCGATGTATGTTCGAGGTGCCTTGTTAATGAAGTGGTACATGATCTGACAAGGTCTGTCGAAAAAGGAACCGTTGACCTGGAGGTTAGAGCACAGACGTTTAATTAATCATTGTAACGGCGCTCTAAGAGTAAGCTCGCATATGATATAGTCTTATATGGAAGAACTCCTAATCAAGTAATGATTACTACTTGCCTATGAATCCCTGGCCTTAGGCTAGTCTAAACATATACAAGTGTTTTCAGGACTACGTGTTGATGGTCAAACAATCATTGCTTGTACGGTCTGGGCTATCTGGCGGTGTCATTGGCGTTTTGTATTTGATGGCCGTACCTTCTGGCCCGATGAAGCTGCTGCACGAGCAACGCAAGCAATCAAGCGAATACATGATGAGAATATCTATAGAGAGCGTCTAAAAACATCTCGCTCAGGTTAACGCAACCTTTATTTTGTTCCGTGCTTCTATGCTCTTTATTATTTTCTTTAATAAGTACAAGCTAACTGGCAGTACTTGAATAAAATATACCATTTTACAAAAAAAAAAGTAATGGTTACTACAAATATTTATTGATAATGTTGTGATGGCACAGCAATCCCTTTCTCTTTTCGTGTATCCTCACTGAAGCTTTGAGCTGTCAATCTAAACAGGCTCCTCTTGTTTTCCCAACAGACTAATGGTGGTAAAAGTTGCTGTATAGACGAAAACATAAGGGTGCAAAAAAAAAGAAAGAAAGCCAACCTGTTATTAAAGACTGTCTGTGGATAAAAAACTAAAAAGTTATCCTTTTCTGCATACATCTTATTTTCTCATATTTTACAGTCTTGCGCGGTTTCGTCATAAAGTAATAAAAATGTTTTAAAGAAGTTCTCTCTTTTTTTTTTTTTTTTTTTTTTTTTTTACCTTTTTAGCATCACTTTATTCAAGCATGTGAACAGAATTTAACGTGATGACCCTTTCATTTCTTCAACTTCACCTTGCTTGGCCTTGTTGTGTGATGTAGTAGCAAGACTATTTAGTAAGGGCTCTCATCCATCACAACAAATTTCAATAAAAGTCGATGGGCGCTTGATTTGACTATTTTAGTAATTTCTCATAAAAACAGGAAAGTGGTTATGCCTCATAAATAAAAGAATTGAGAAGAGGTATACCAAGGGGATAATCCATCTATGTATGAAAATCATCAGTGCTGACACCAATATTTTTGTTGAAAAAAATTCACAAAACTACTATTCAAAGGTACTATTGTATTTTATATGCATTTGTATCGGCTGAAGAGAAAAAAAAAATGCTTCAAGAATTTATGTAATGGTTTAAACAACACAAGACAAAGACAGAAGAAGTACTTATTATTAATCTTTATTCAGAGATAAAGACAGAAGGAATATACAAATAAATTAATGGCTTATTATTTGCAGTTGTTGGTAAGACACTATTCTAAGCGTAGATTATAATTACTGAGGATATTATTGACTAACGGTTCCTGAGTTCATATAGAAAACTTTTAGTTCGTTCCTGGCGCTGATCTTATTGTTCATTCCATGATCTGAGTTATGATACTGCTTTTACCATAAGAAGGATTATCTTTTAAAGAAATGTATCCTTTTACATACAGAAATAATGATTTTATCCAAAGGAGAGATTTTATTTAATTTGACTTATCACTGAAAGTATGTACACGTAATATTATAGTGTATGAATTCACTCTATTCATGTGATATTTGTTGAAGATAAAGTATTAAGTCGTAAAAGTCAATGGGACAAAAAAATAATGTGTTTATGAAGTAAATATCCTATTGACTTATATATGATTGCTAACGCGTAAGGACTTTACTTTTTTACATTTTGTGGGGGTTTTTCGTTCAATGTCAAAGTGTTACCCTTGCAGTTATAACTCAATGAGGGTTTTAGACCATTTATATAAGTGAGTCTCTAAACTGATATACGCTATGTATACGATATATCTAGCATGTGAATACTACAATTCATACTGATTATAGCTGTTTATCTCAATGTTAATCGTAATCAGACATTGTTCTATGATACATGATGGATAAAAATGTAACTTCCATTTCATTAGCTGATGGACAGCATCAAAAAGCTTTTGCTATGATTAAAGTTGTAGACGCTTAGAATAAAAATCATATTACAATAAGATTTACAATTTTTACATTGAAACTAACTGATAATCCTTCTATATGTAATAGTCAAACTTTTTGCTTATACATAATTTACAGGCATAGCAAACAGAAATTCACAGCCAATGCCTTAAAAAACCAGAAGATCATATATAAAATGCCAAAACAGTTTTTTTGATAACAACTGTGATATCAAATGCTCTAGCCAGCTCCTTCATTCTTTGTATTATACCTACATCGTCAATGTGTGTCCAAGACAGTATATTCGCGCAGCTTACGGTTCCCTACATGTGCCTCATATTGCAAGTTTCTATTTTTTCTACTCAAAATTTTTCATTGGGGATGCATTTTTTCTCGATGGGGTTGGATATTATATGCTGATTTATATTTTTGGGCTTATGAGAGTGCCCCAAAAATTGAAATAGCTTCCAAATAAGGCCATTTTTTTAATTCACTCTCAAAAGTGAATATGTCAACTGGAGAATAATAATGATTCAACGTGGTGTTCATCAATAAATGCTTCAATTGTCAGGTACACTATTACGCGCTTGCTATTGATATGTTAAGAATCCAGTGCAGTGATCATAGGTCAATTGTTAAGCTTTTATTAATGAGCTGACTTGAAGATCGTCCCTGAAGCTATGGTTTTTTGACCTTTGTGAAACAATGCACAAGCTCAGTATACGATCTAGGCAGCATATTTGTGTGAAGTGTCATTAAACCCAAGAAGGGGATGACATAGAAAATGTTTCAAATCCTGGCATAACTTAATATGGATCAACAGATTTTCGTATGAAATATTTGTATACAGTTCTACTAGAAGCGATGACACGGCCCTGCAAGTTGGTACTGTGAGGAAGCAATTGTCAACATTCGAGAGAGATTTTCTTTTTTGATTCTCAATGATGGAGATACAGCATCTCGTAATGTAATGAACAAGATTAATAAAAATGCAAAGCGATAAATAGCAATGAAATATAACCTTTTGCTTTATAGTTGTTAGTAAAACACTCTTAAGATAATGAACCGGTTAGGCTTAAAGGAGGAACAGTTAGGCCTTTAAGCCTTAAGTAACTCTTTAAATAAATGGGTATTTAAAGGCTCTCTACCGGTTATCTAATATTAAATGGATCAAATAGAGAAAAAGAAAAATGAATTGTATGCACAGACAGCTAGATTAGAAATTTCATTATTCCAAGTTAAAGAGTGAGCAAAAGCGTCTTCCCTCTCTCCTTTATGTCAGTTTATACATGTTGAAAAGTAAGCATGAATGTCGTGTTTGTATTAAATGCATGTTGATGTGATTCAAGTTGACAGCTATCTACGAAATGATACAGTTATATGTAGAATATGCACAATTGAACATTAGAATAACGCGATATTACGTTTACAAGTAAAGTAGATCAAATTTCTGATGTGTGTCAACAAGTATAAATAGATACTTCTTATCATCCTTTTATTTATTTATTTCGGTTAAAAAATGAATAAGATTCACTTGGTTGTGTTTGTACATGGTATGATGGGCTCAAGAGCTCATTCGCTCTATGTAAGCGAACGACTTGTCAGAAAGTGTCCTAATATACAAACTGTAAAGCTTATAAATAAATCAAATACGCGTCTTTTTTAACCGATAACACTATAGTATATATCTTCAGCAAACGAAGGATGGCTGATGAATGATGGCGTGGATGTCTGTGGACTTCGATTAGCACAGGAGGTAATTATATATGAGTATGGGGAATAAACAAAGACTAATACAGAGGATTGTTTGTTTATTAGATATATGATCATATCATATACTTGCACACATCCAAATCGATGACAGTAACCCATTTTTCGATCTTTGGTCATTCAATGGGCGGTATTGTAGCTCGATTTGCAATCGGAATTTTAGATAGACAAGGCGTGTTTACAAACATAAAGTTGATGGTAATTTCTTTGCTTTGTACAAATAATAGCTGTAGCATAACTAATTTATGATAGAACTATATATCCTTTGCTTCACCTCATTTGAGTATCTATATTCCTTATCAAGAGTGGTATAGTCGGGCGATCAATGAAATCGTAAAGATAGGTGGATGTCCGATTACAGATCAATTGTCATTTTGTGATTCATTTAGAGAAGGCAAACCATTGTGGGAGATATTAGCGGATCCAGGTACGGCGATATGATAGCAAAATAAGAACAGACAAGATTCATTTTATTTTAGCACATGAATTCTATACTGCCTTGAAAAAGTTTAAACACAAACGTAATTATGTCAATACAACTGGTGACTTTAGTGTACCTTACTTTGCTGCAGCCATGGATGGTTCCGATCACTTTGACGATCCTCTAAATATGAACATGTAAAGTGGCAAAAAGATGAATAATCCTGATAAGCCTTATTTACCGCTTTAAGTAGTTCCTGTCATTCTAAATATCCAAGTGTCATCACGAGATTTGATATTAAAGAGACCAAAGAATGCCGACGGGTGAATCTTTTTGAAAAAATAGCACATGTTGTATTTATCGGTGTCAGGGTCCCTCTTGTGTTCATGTCCTCAAGATCGACTTCTTGGCGAAGGCATGATCAGGTTCTTTCATCCTATCAAGACGAAAAGGAAGGCTATTATTCTATTCATATTGACCGAGAATACAGCTTTCTCTTTGAGAAACATCAAGATATGAACAAGCAAGAAGCGATGACAAAAAAACTAGATCCTTCAAAACTATTCCCCGAAGTAGGACCGAATGTGAAGAACCGAGCAAGTTATCCAATCCATTGTCATTCTGCTCAACTAAGAATCATTGAAATGCTCAAAAAAATTGATTGGGAACAAACCCTGGTCCATATAAATTCTTCAAAGGCACATACAATGATTATAGGTATAGAGGATGAAGTTCAAGAAGGAAAGGATGTAGTCGAGCATTTTACAGATACTTTTGACTATTAATGCTGTTACTGCTTTAAAATAAATCTTCTCTCTCTTTTTTTTTCTATATAAATACAATATGAAGCGTAAACTATTGATCTTTTTAATTGATGGCATTGGCGATGTTGCAGTACCTGAATTAGACTTCAAAACACCTTTGCAAGTAGCACGTACACCTTGGATGGATAAACTGGCTGGTAAAAAAAAAATTATGCAAACTAAGAGTTTATGACATACTTATGGGACGCAGAATACGGCTGGAATGGTTTATTAGATCCCGTAGAGCCAGGGTTAGCTTGTGGATCAGATGTTGCACACATGTCAATCCTAGGTTATGATCCAAGAAAGTAATAGTAAAGAAGAAGAAGAAGAAATGTCAATTGCAGTACATGCTCATGTTTTATTTAGATATTATAGAGGAAGAGGGGCCTTTGAGAGTATGGGTGCTGGTTTAGAAATGAAACCAGGGGATATAGCCTTTAAGGTAACTTGACTTTATTTTATAACATGCTTTATATTCAAGCTTTTTATATATAGTCAAACTTTGCATATCTCGAGAAAGAAACAGGCATTGTAAAGCTAAGAAAAGCAGACCCACATTTTGGAAATATGGGACCTATATTTTGTGAAGCTGTGGATGATGTGTAAGAAACTGTGATCAGCGTGCATATAATGTAGTTATTCATGTATTTTAAGCAAACTACCGTCATTTCCACATCATCAAGTCACTGTACAGTATGCAATCGAGCATCGATGCGGCGTAAGAGTTAGAGGACCAGGACTGACAGATACAATCACTGGAACTGATCCGTTAAAGGACAAGTAAGTTATATCGGGATAATCATGATAAGTAAAATAATTCTGTCTTTAGTAAACTGTTAATCCACTGTGAACCAACTGCAGATAATGAGGAGTCCAAAACGACAAGCAAGGTAAAATGAAAGCAATTGGAATACGCTGAATTGACGTTTTTTGTAGCTTGTAAATGAATTATCTGATGCATTTATAAACATCCTGTCTGAACATCCTATAAACAAAGAGCGTATAAAACAAGGAAAAAACCCAGCAAATTGTATACTCTTGCGTGGATGTTCAAGTTGTATAGAAGTAAGCTCAAAGCATAAATTCATTTTTGATATTTGTATTCAATTGTCCTTATAGGTTCCAAGTATAGAAGCGATTCATGGGCTAAAGAGCTTTTTGATAGCACCTACATGCATTATAGCAGGTATTGGTATGACCCTAGGCATGGATTTGATAAAGGTACCTGGTGCAACGGGTGACTACTCTACGGATTTTAATGCAAAGGGACAAGCATGTATACAGCACATTACATCGGGCAAGTACGATTTTGGATTTTGCCACTTAAAGGCAGTAGATGACGCAGGCCATGATAAAGATGTACAGAAAAAGGTAAGTTCTATTTAAGCAAAAGGCACACCCTCTCTCAACCTCATTAGATTTATTACTTTGAAAGAATTGATGAAATGATTGGAACTGTCGTCCAGACGCTTGAACAAAGAAAAGATGAATCTTATACAGTGATCGTCACTGGTGATCATACAACACCAGTGCTCTATGGCGATCACAGCTGTGAACCAGTTCCATTCTGTATTACCAATCTACCATTCCATCAAAAAGGAGATGATACAAAACAATTTGATGAAATGTCTGTTTCTCAAGGAAGCCTAGGCCGATTTTGTGGTGATCAGGTAATGCCTATCGCAAAGCACTTTATGAAGAAATAAATACAGTCTTTTCTTTAAGTCATGTCGTATAATTCGAAAATTTATAATACAAAATATACAAAATACGATGTCTTGGAACGACATTACTTTCTGGAAATAGTGTACAGTCGTTTCAATAACAAAAGGAGCGGTCTTTTTATTCTCAAAATATACTCAATTAACATACATGTGTTGATAAAAATATCTTTATTAAGTACAAGACGATTCTCCTTCTTTGTTGGTATTATGCAAAGCAGTTATGAAACTAAGTTAGTATTTAACCAATATAATATTTATTTAAGCGCTTTTGTCATTCGCTTCTTTTCCATTCTTATCGCTTGTTTCTGTCGCTTCTTCAGGATGTCCTTTATAGTTCTTCTTTTTTCTCTCCATTTTGCTTCATAACCTTCTTGTTCTTCAGGGCGGCATTGAAATATACCTTCTGGGTCATATGAAAAACAGCTCCTATTGGGAAAAAAGTAATGAATACATTATTATGTGCACGCTATGAGATATTCCCTCTCCCTCCCTTACTTTTTTAGAAGCTCAGGATCATCAAAATGGAAAAAGAACATGATGCCTAGTCCCATTGAGTTTGATGCCTTGTTTGTTGATGCAAAATTTAGGCTATAGTCAACCGTAGGTGTATCCTCCACAGGCGCTTGTTCTTCCTCAATTTTATTCTCTTCGTCATCATCTCCAAATAGTTTAAAGGTTCCTTAGGAGATAAACTAGTTAAAAAAAAGAGAAAAATTTTGGCATATTCCTGCTCTATTACCTTCTGAACCTCCAAACAAGGGCTTAAGGTTCGTGTTTACTTCAAAGTGCTTTTCTGTAGAAACTTCAGGGGCTATACTTTGAAGTTGATTAGGCTTATCTATAAAAATAAAGACAGTACTGATTAGCATAAAGGAAAGGCTCCTTTTTGTTTTATATTTTACCAAAGAAATCGTCATCGCTTTGTTCATCTTTTTCTGCCTCTTCCATTTCTGTGTCATGATCGGATTCATTATTCTTGGAGTCATCTTCAGTTTTGTTTGTAGTAAGATATTTATAAGAATCTTCTGCATCGGGATCAAATCGAGCAGCATTTGTCCATACATTGGATGCTGCTGGTGCTTTTGTAACTATTCTATCTTCACCAAACATGAAACGAAGTACATCCATGGCTTGGTTCTTTTCAGTACTTAATTCTTGGCTAATACTGTCACCTATATCTGCTTTCGTCTCAGTTTCCTCTTCATCAATAAAATCTTCGCCAAGCTTGAAACGTTCATCGCCTTTGAATCGACTTTGTAACTCTAATCGTTTACGACCTTCCTCGCCTTCAAGCACAGGATTAATCTGAATGTTAATCTCTTCTTCGTCATCCTCATCTTCTGAAGAATCAAACAGCCATTTCCTATCATCTGCTTCCGTCTTTTGTTGGTTCTCATCCTTTCCTGATGTTTGTTGTAAATTATCTTCCTCTGTTTCGAATGTGATATGGTTACTATCATCTATCTCTCCTGCAAGTGATTTACTAATCAGCTCTTTCTTTGCTCGTTGCTCTTCTGCTCGCTTTTCAATTGCTGCCCTTCGTTTTTCGTCATCTAATGATTTAGTATTTTCTGTTGCTTCATCTTCGTCATCTAGTGTTTTCATATGATCTGATGTTTCATATTCATCATCAGTATCATCATCAGTATATTCATCACCATCGATGGTTGATATTAACTTCTTGACAGGTTTCATAGGCACGCCGATATTGTATAGTTTTGTCAGGTTATTTTTGTAGTGAGTGGGATCAAAGACAAACTACAAATCACCATTAACCTTCCTTTTTCTATTGCAGGTTCCCTTCCTTCTGTATATTACCTTTGTACCATCAGGCTTTGATAGTCTCATCACTGCAATAGCTCTACCATATCTTCCTCTTTTCCACCCACGCTTGTTATTCATATTATTATCTGTAATGAGTGACATATCTTTTGCGTGAAATCCATCACTATCATTCCATCTTGCCAGTCGTTTTCTCTTTCTTTCCTGTCGTTCTTCTATCTTTTGTTGCCTCAGGGCTTCACGCTCTTTATAGTCCATCTTGGCTTCTTGTATCTTTATTTCTTGACCTTTCCATTTTGAACCCTTGAATACGCTTAAACCTAAGAAATCATTAGTTGTTTGGCTTTGTATTTGTCCAAGTGTCTTAAAATACATTGTGCCCATTTCTTTGTTGTTGTTTCAATATTCATGTGAGCAAATCCTCTACAGAGATCTATTATTTATGAGTATTTTTTTGCTAATCAAAGAGCACACAGTATGGTATTACTCTCGCAATCTTTTGCTACTTGAACATTGCTAACAGTGCCAAATTTGCTGAATCTTTCCTTGATCTGATCTTCAGTAATAGAAGAGTGTAGACCACCTAGATATATTCTTTTGCTAACTGAGTATATGTACAAATATGTGTTTAGTCATGTGTAGCAAGAATGACACAATCTTATCTCTCTCTTTTTTACTTGTATCGTCAGCATTGGGTTTACTTTCGTTCGAGGACATGAATTGGAACTGTAGTTTGACGTTCTTTTTTTTTTTTTTTTTTTGGCTACTTTTTATGGATTTTGCAGTCCTGTGACTATTTTTACTCTTTATGGTAATAGCAGTAATGCCATTTTGAAAGAAGAGAGAGACGCGTCTTGCAACTGTCGTGTTGTAAGAAAACATGTGCAAGTATATCAAAGTTTTATTTGATGACCCATTAATCAAGCGTATAAGGGAAGAATGAAGTTGAGGTTGTGGTATTATTTTACAATTCCTCCACCTTATTTGCTATGGTTGCTACAATTGATTTGCTTGTTTCGGTCTTTTACTTTATTCATATGCATATGTATACATATGTTTAAACATGTTCCGTGTTTGTGAGAAATGATTATAGTGTTCGCACTTCAAATGCAGACAATTCGTTTACCATTTTCAGATGAATAAAAAATGAAAATTTAGACAAACGAAAATGACAGAACATACGTATGAAAAGTATTTACTTGTTCCGTTTAAATTCTCTAGAACGACTACCATCCTCTATTGGAAAATTCTAAAAATGCTTTTGATGCGTTAGCATTGTGTTGCCACATTATTATGCAACTTTTGTAAGCGAGAACACTACTCGTCTTAACAAGAACTTCAGTAAACAGCATCTCCTTAAATGACTTGAGATGTCTACATCTATAAAATCGCTATAAAATTAAAATCGTCCAATACTTTGTACTTTGAAATACGAAACTCATCTGCGTATACAGGTTGTAGATCGCTCGATCTTGATCTGCTTTTAAGCTGATGTCAAAGCACTCCAGTAACACCAGTTAGAAGACTACTCATTTTGATCATATCTTTATTGAATGTCTTATTTCCAAAGGATATGATGGGTAATTTATACTTTTGGTGCTGGATATAGATCAATGTTATGTAAAATCATATATATCTCATAAAAAGCTAACATTTTCTGAATTTGAAGTGCGAACACTGTATCCATGAAGAACTTTAAATGGAGTCTATCAAATTTAGTATCCGCAAGATCTATTGACGCAAAAGTTACCCCAAATCTTTATATATGCATCCACGTCTTTTTTTTTTTCTTGCATCTTTTTCTTTTTATCCAAAAATGAAGCTTACTGATCATCTTCTTTCATTAAATAAGGAAGAATTTAAAAAGGCTACTCAACATCCTTTCCTGACAGAAGTAGGTAGCCTTAAAGTAAAGCCTGAACACTTGAAGTCCTGGTTAATCCAAGACAGATACTACACGGGTGGATATATCAAAATGATGGGAATCATGATATCTCGCTTACCATTATATGAACAACAGAGAGACTTGGGCGATAATGATCCTTCGTATACACCTGAAAGAGCTCAAAGGGTCATCCAGACATTAGCTTTTGCTTTATCCAACGTGCATCGAGAGGCTAATTTCTTTACAGATATCCTGTCTAGACCCTCTTACGCACAATGTGATAAGGTCTCTTTTGAGCAAAAGGACTGGACAACACGATATGTTGATTTCCACAAGAAGGTAGCTTATGAAAGTGGTTATGACTTGGGAGAGGCCTTGGTTGTCTTGTGGGCCATGGAATACGTATTCTATACTGCTTGGAGCCATGCGAAATCTATTAACGCGGGTAATGGAAAAGATTCAGATGATATCCATATCAAGTCGTGTCATGAACTCATGTCAAACTGGACATTGGAAGAATTTAAACAATTCGTGGATGAATGCGGATCTCTGGTCAATGAGCTCTCTTTGGATGATCCTCGGCGTTTAAAGAGCTTTGAAAAGGTTTATAAAGACACATTGGCTCTTGAAGTCAAATTCTGGGATATGGCCTATGATTAAAAAAAATAGTCGTGACGATCGCCAATAAAAAAATTATGTGCAATATCTCTTTCATGTCTGTTGATAATATACCATACATCCTACAAAGAAAGTGTAAAGATAGAAATGGAATAAGAATCACCAAGGAGTATCTTCAGTCCTTTTGGTCTCAAGGTCAGCGTCGTCCAGCACCAGATACAGAAGAGGCTTACAACCAACTTGTTCAAGACTTTTTAAATAAGGATATCGCACTCACCTCAGAACCTGTTATTCCAGAAAACTTTGGTCAGAATTCAATAGAAACATTTCCACAGGGTCATTTAAGACATGGTGGAGGCGTAGTTTTACAGATCCAAGACACGATTGACATTCGCTATTCGACCCTGTCATTATTGAATAACTTGACAAACGCTACACCTGTTCGGCAGATCTATATAGAGAGAAATAAAGACGATGAGGTAGACTTTCAGAGAGGTATGTTGCGCTGGACACTATCGGACGGGAAAAATCAAATCCAGGCTATGGAAATGGAAACCATACCTGAGTTATCCCTGACAACGCCATTTGGTTGCAAGGTAATAGCGA